GCGGGACGCTCATGAGATCCCATGAAGGGTGTTGGTTGCTTAAGACAGCAGGACGGTGGCCATGGAAGTCGGAACCCGCTAAGGAGTGTGTAACAACTCACCTGCCGAAGCAACTAGCCCCGAAAATAGATGGCGCTCTAGTGTCGAGCCTATCCCCGGCCGCTGCCGGCAGATGCACGCAAACAAGGGGGTGCTAAGCTGCAGCGAGTAGGAGGGCCGCTGCGGGGAGCGTTGAAGGTGTCGGGCGTAAGCCCGCCTGGAGCCGCCGCTGGTGCAGATCTTGGTGGTAGTAGCAAATACTCAAGTGAGAACCTTGAGGACTGAAGTGGAGAAGGGTTCCATGTGAACAGCAGTTGAACATGGGTCAGTCGGTCCTAAGGGAAAGGAGAAGTTCTTTCCGAAGCGGGAGCACTTTTTTGCAGTGGAGAGAGCCCCGCAGTGACCGAAAGGGAATCGGGTTAATAATCCCGAACCCGGACACGGAGATTGGTCCTTCGGGGCCCAGTGCGGTAACGCAAACCAGCTCGGAGACGCCGATGCGAGCCCCGGGAAGAGTTTTCTTTTCTCTGTAAGGAGATCGAGTCCCTGGAATGGGTTCGCCCCGAGATAGGGATGGTGGCTCCGTAGAGCAGTGCGGTTCTTGCGCTGTCCGGTGCGCTCGCGTCGGCCCTTGAAAATCCGAGTGAGGGAGTGTGATTTTCGTGCCGGACCGTACCCACATCCGCAGCAGGTCTCCAAGGTGAACAGCCTCTAGTCGATGGACCAATGTAGGTAAGGGAAGTCGGCAAAACGGATCCGTAACCTTGGGATAAGGATTGGCTCTGAGGACTGAGCCGGTCGGGCTGGGGACCTGAAGCAGGAACGGCACTGCACCGGGACTGGGCGGGGCTCGCCGTTGACGCGGCGCGGCCAAGCCCGGACCAGCGTCGGGACCTTCCTGTGGAAAGCCTCAGCTGCGCGGCGTCTGAGGGCTTCGTGCCCAAAGTGCTATGCTTCGGCCGGCAAAAAACAGTCAACTCAGAACTGGCACGGACCGGGGGAATCCGACTGTCTAATTAAAACAAAGCATTGCGATGGCCGCTGGTCGGTGTTGACGCAATGTGATTTCTGCCCAGTGCTCTGAATGTCAACGTGAAGAGATTCATCAAAGCGCGGGTAAACGGCGGGAGTAACTATGACTCTCTACAGCCCATAGAAGGAAACAGAATTATTATGCGAGGAACGATGAGGTTGTAGCCTATGCCAAAGCTGATAGGAGCGGAACACCCATCGTCACCTCCTGTACAGTGTCGTACAGAGGGGTGTGGTCAACATCGTCAAGGGCCGACCTCCATGGGCTGGGTGTCACCAAAGCGGACACGAAACTGATGAGTGTGCGAGCGCTGCAAGGGTCGCTGGCCATATTTGGTGTGTTCCGGCGTTCTACGTCCCGGACAAAGAAGGCCTGAGGTCCCACCCTCATGTCATGAAGGTCAAAGCCGAGGAAGAAGGATTTGGAGGTTTTGGAGTAACCTAAAGAGGAGTTTGTTGGGATAACGGAGCGTGGAGAACGATGGAATTGATTAAATCACCTAGTGTGAGATGCGGAGAGGACGGTCTTTCTGAAGACCGCCGCATGCGGCAGCAAAAGGAGGAAGGCATGACGCCTGGCCGCTCGCTCATGGCCAATACCAGTGGTCAGAGCTTAGAAGGGCATACCCCTATGTGGTTATAAATACCACTTTAGGGGACTCGCACCGGTGAGTGCGTGTAAAGAGCGTGTGGCGGAAACGCCCACAATGTCGGTCTAGGGAAAGCATGTTGGGATAGCATGCCGGGACCGGGGTGGAGGTGGGTTGGAAAAAAAATAGCCAAATGCCTCGTCATCTAATTAGTGCCGCGCATGAATGGATTAACGAGATTCCCACTGTCGCAAGCCCCCGCGGTTGTTGCCGCGTGGGAAGTCAACCTCCACCTGCTCGTGGTGCGCCCTGCCAGCTTTATTGCTGCAACGGAGGCTCTGGCGAAAACCCCCCCACCTGGGATGGGGAACCCTAGCACTGGGGTTCTGCATGTGGACGGGGGGGACAAAACGAGCCTGGGAACCCTAGCTTACCCCATGGAAGCGGAGCCCCTGAGGCGGGGTCCATACCAGGGGAAGCTATCATAAAGGTGGTGCCCCTCGTAACTTCCCACGTAGGGAGGTGCCCCCGCATGGTGGCGGGGGTGATCTCCAGGGGAGCCGAGGGATATAAAAGTGATCACTGATCGGCGGGGCTGGATGGTTCATGGTTGCCATTCAGTGACCGTCGGACCCGCTGTGAGACGCACTCATGTCTTAGTAGCGGAGCCGGACAGTGAGTCGAGCAAGTGGGTACTTTTAGTACCACTGGTTTTCCCGGGCCGTTCCACTGGCTGTACAATACAATAGTTGGTTTCATTTATAATCCCTTAATTCCAATTGGCTTTTTCCTGAAATTTTCACTTGATCACATGATCCTATTCATTTTTATTGGAATTG